TTTCATAGGTTTGTTGGCTCTTTACATTTCTTTTTCTGTGAATTATCTTTTTTTGCCCATGTTTACTTTTTAGTTTGGGGGGGTTTTTTTGTTTTCCAATTTTCAGACGTGAGAATCGAACAAGCCACCCTGTGCTTGGAACATTGAGCAGAAGGTGATGAAAAGTGCAGAAAGAAACTGCAAAGTTGGGCTGTGTTCTCACACAGCATCCACTTGGAGGGGTTTGTGTGTTTAATCTTGGTTATGCCATGCAGCCTGCAGGATATTGGTTTCCTGACTAGATATCAAGCCTGGGCCACAGCAGTGAAAGCACTGAATCCTAACCCCTAGGCCACCAGGGAGCTGTCTACTTTGAGTTTTATACTGTCTAACACAGTATTCACAGATCTGTTGCACTGATACACATTGATGATACGTGGTAGAAGAAACCACAGGCTTTTTTTTTAATTGAGGTATAATTGACCAACAAACCTTAGTTTCAGTTGTGCAGCTGAATGATTTGATACATGTGTATATTCTGAAATATATATAATTAGCCATAATATATTTAGTTAACATCTGTCACCATTTATAGTTACAGTTTTCTTTTTCCTGTAATGAGAACTTTGAAGACCTACTCTGTTTAGCAGCATTTAAATACAATACAGTTTTGTTTTGCTTTTTTTTGACCCTCCTTGTGGAATCTGTTTTCTGACCAGGGTTTGAACCCAGGCCCCAGCAGTGAAAGCCCGGAATCCTAACCACTGGGCCACCAGGCAACTCTCCACAATACAGTATTATTAACTGTTGTCATCATGCTGTACTTTATAACCCTGGAACTTAATTGTTTTATAACTGGAAGTTTGTACCTTATACCGTTATGCCTGCCCCCATCCTCTGGTGAACACCAATCTGTTCTCTATGAATTTGGTGTTTTGTTTTATTAGTCTGTCTTTGTCTGACTTACTTCACTTAGCATAATGCCTGCAGGATCTTGAGTGTTGTTGCAGATGGCAAGATTTCCTTCTTTTTTGTGGCTGAGTAACGTTCCTTTGTGTATAAAGAATCCATTTTCTTCATTCATCCATCAGTGGACACTTAGGTTGCTTCCATATCTTGACTATAGCAAATAATGCTGCAGTGAGCATCCCCATGTTCACTATCATGCATATCATCTCCATTCATATGTCTTTTCTAGTGGAAGTTTTCATTTCCTTCAGATAAATATCCAGTAGTGGTTTTGCTGGATCGATTGGGAGTTCTATCTTTAATTTTTGGAGGAACCACCGTAACTATTTTTTATAGTGGCTGCATCAGTTTACATTCCCACCAGCAGTGCAGGAGAGTTCCCTTTTCCCCACATCCTCTCCAACATGTATTATTTCTTACCTTTTTTATAATAGCCATGCCAGGAGGTGTGGTGATATTTCCTTGTGGGTTTGCATTTCCCTGATGATTAGTGATTTTGAGCACCGTTTCCCATACCTGATGGCAGGCTGTATGTCTTCTTTGGAAAAATGTCTATTCAGATCCTCTGCCCAGTTTTAACTAGGATCCTTTGTTTTTTTGCTGTATGAGTTCCTAATGTGTTTTGGATATTAATCAGATATATGATTTGTAAATATCTTCTGTTCAGTTGGTTGCCTGTTCATTTTGTTGATGGTTTCCTTTGCTGTGCAGAAGCTTTTTAGTACGATGTAGTCTTATTTACTTATTTTTGTTTTTGTTACATTTGCTTTTAGTGTCACATCTAAAAAAATTATTGCAAAGACCACCGTCAAGGAGCTTACTTGCCTGTGTTTTGTTATAGGACTTTTATGGTGTCTGGTCTTACATTCAAGTTTTTAATCCATTTCGAGTTGATTTTTGTGTATAGTGGTGAGTTAGTGGTTCAGTTTCATTCCTTTGCATGTGGCTGTCCGGTTTTCCCATATCGTTTACTTAAGAGACTGTCCTTTCCTGGTGGTGTAGTCTTGGCCCCTTTGTTGTAATTGAATGGACCATGTATGTGTGGGTTTATTTTTGGGCTCTCTGTTGTGTTCCATTCATCTGTGCGTCTGTTTTAATGCCAGTACTGTACTGTGTTGATTCCCGTAGCTTTATAATATGGTTTGAAACCAGGCAGTATGGTGTTTCCAGCTTCATTCTTCTTTCTCTAGGTTGCTTTGGCTATTCTAGGTCTTTGTGGTTCCATACAAATTTTAGGATTTTTTTTTCTGTTTCTGTGAAAAAATGTCCTTGACATTTTAATAGAGATTGCACTGAATCTGTTGATTGCTTTAGCTAGTATGGACATCTTAACAATACTAATGCTTCTGATCCATTAGTGTGGGATATCTTTTGTTTTTATGTTTTTCAGTTTATTTCATTAATATCTTATACTTTTCAGTGTACAGATCTTTTGCCACCTTGGTTAAATTTATTCCTAGGTATTTTATTCTTTTTGATGCAATTAAAATTGGGTTTGTTTTCTTAATTTCTCTTTCTGATAGTTTGATATTGTATAGAAATACAGTTGACTTTCGTATATTATATATCCTGTAATCTTACTGAATTTGTCAATTAGTTGTAACAGCTTTTTGGTTGAGTCTTTAGAAAACTGTTTTCCTGGAAGTAGAAGTTCTCTAAAGGCCAAAATCTGCCATGTACTTCTCTTCTGCAAGAAAAAGAGAAATGTATGTGAAGTTACACAGTTCAATAGAAGCAACTTAGACATGGATTAGAAGTAGAGAGGATTGGCAGTGGCAGAGAGAGGTGAAATAAGATCAAAGAGTACTTTACAGCGATAATCCGTGAAATTTTCACATACCACATGGTTATCTTCGGCGTCTGTCTATTTATTTTTAGAAAAATCTCAAGAGGTCTAGGTGAAACCATTAGGATACCCTTGTAGGTCCAAGTGAAAGATAAGGAACTGAGTTGATGCTTCAGCTAGAATTAATGTTGAGAAAGAGAGATTTGAGAACAATTTTAAGGAGATGTTGTTACCAAGAAAAGGTTGAATTATGCCTTAAGTAATCCATCAATAAAAGATCTATTTTGATTACTGATCCAAAATAAGGTAGTGGAGTTTGGCATTTAAAGAGATGTTTCAGCTATGTTGAAATTTTTGTGCAGCAGCTTTGTTTTTCTCATGATGTCAACAACAGGCATTTGGGATACATTTAATTTTCCCTCTAACCTTTTAAAGCTTTTTAATCGTTTGAGAAGACATTTTGAAACAGATGAAACAGAACATCTAAAGGCTTTTTGGTGTCAGTTTTCTCTGATTAGGAAGCTGAGGCACAAGGATTTGAATAGTTTCTTATTGATACTGTGCAGCATATCAGCTATAGAATCAGTCAGTTATGTGTGGATGACTGCATTTGCCTCACTGCTGTCGATAAAATGTACTTAGTACCAGTATTTCTCTGATAAAGGAGGAGGAGGGAATGGGTTGTCATTGCTAATTTTACATAAGCATTTAAATCATTCTCCCTTGAAGAAATAACATAGTTTTGTTGTCTTTTGAATAACTAGATCCTATAGGATATAAAACATTTTGTTTAGTGTAGTAACACTCTCTGGCCTTCAATGATTTATTTTTGAAAACATTTTGGGTCAGTTTTCACCACTGGAGAAAGATGAAACGGGATCCCTAATTAGAGCTGTATATAGGCTTTTAGCTTACAAGCTTTGAAACTGCTGATGATAAACAGGGACAAAATATCTTTCTATCTTTTTCTGAGGACAGATTTTTAAAATGTAATCTTGTCCATTAAATGACAATAGAAAATGAGTCATAAATATGACAGTAAAAAAAAATACTTGTCACTTGATTTTTTTTTTTTCAAACTAGAAGCGTTTGAGGGACTTCCCTGGCAGTCCAGTGGTTAGGATTCCGACTTCCATTTCAGGGGGTGTGGGTTCAGTCCTTGGTCAGGGAAGATCCCATTTGCTCTGTGGTGCAGCCAAAAAGTAAAAGAAAAAAAGAAATGTTATTTCCCCTCTTCATTCTTTAGACTATTTACATGATAAATGTTTGCTGCCTATAGAATTTATTGGCATAAATAAGGGTTCTGGTTCTTTCCAGCATGGTAGTCCTTCAACTGTATCTCCCACACTTAGTCACCAATGTTAATGTGTGGCTGCACCTTTGGAAGCACACCTGTTGTTAGTTGCTCGATTGCCTGCTGTGTACCTGGTTCCAAAGCAGGACCGTTAGACACATTCTCTCACTTAATTTTTACAACAACTCTATGAGAAGTATTAGTACACCCATTTCTACTTAAGGAAACTAAAGCATAAGAGGTTAAATAACTTTTATAGCTAAAGAGCCAGGATTCTGACTGTAGCTTGATTGGCTCTTGCTGTTTACTATTGTGTGGTTTATGCCATATTGACTTTCTGAACTGATGCTCATGAGAAACATCTCACTTGTTTTTAAGAATTTACACACGTGCTGTGCTGTGCTGAGGTGCTCAGTCGTGTCCGACTCTTTTGTGACCCCACAGACTGTAGCCCACCAGCTCCTCTGTCCATGGGATTCTCCAGGCAGAACACTGGAGTCGGTTGCTATGCCCTTCTCCTGGGGATCTTCTGAACCCAGGGATCGAACCCAGGTCTCCTGCATTGCAGGCGGATTCTTTATCATCTGAGCTACCAGGGAAGCGCAAGAATACTGGAGTGGGTAGCCTATCCCTTCTCCAGGGGATCTTCCTGACCCAGGGATTGAACGGGGTCTCCTGCATTGCAGGCAGATTCTTTACCAGCTGAGCTGCCGGGGAAGCCCTACATACATACTGTGTGAGCACAGATACATGTATAGGTATGGAAACAAAAAGGCTACACCAAAGTGTTAGCAGTGGATATCATGGTGAGTTTACGAGTGCTTTAAAAATGTTTTTCTTTGTATTTGTCTTTTTTTTTTTACAAGCATCAACATACATTTATATTATTTTGTAATAAATATTTGTATGCTACATATTAGACTTAACAGTAATTGAGACATGACATTTCAGCTTATTGTTGCTTATTTCTAGATCAGTTGGCCTTATTTCCTCAGTGGAAATCTAATCACTATGACGTGGTGGTTGGTGTGCTGTCAGCCCGCAATAACCATCAACTTCGCAATGTGATAAGAAGCACCTGGCTGAAGCATTTAATACAACATCCAGCGTTAAGTCAACGGTAGGTTTCTTGAGTTCACACCTTGCCTGCCGTATTGAGTAAGTTGTTCTGAAAAACCTCTTCTTGGATAGTCAGAGCTATTAATTCAGATATGTGGCCTCTTTTTCCCAGGAGAGAGGACTATCCCATTTTGCTTTTTCTCCACATAGTTGAGCCCCAAAAGTAAACTTAACCAGGATTTTAGGCCAAAAGATAGTTGGAGAGGATTATATTCCATATTCAGTTGTTCACATACCTAGTTTCTATAGATACCTAGTTTGGTTGGTTTGTTTGCTTTTTGTTTATTGGCTTTGGGGGTTTTTTGCTTTTATTTAGAAGAATAGTCCTTAAAAGGTTCTGTTTCAGAGTAGTTTTCTATTAGATGAATTTGTGTCTAAATATGCTTTTGACTGACTTCACAGAGATGCTCTTAGTTTATTCTGTTCTGTGGTGGTGATGAGTTGTGTGTGGTCTACAATTTGTGTAGTTTGCCATCCTCTTTTTTCTCAGACTTGAGCTTTGATAGCATGTCACAGGTTGCGTTTTTTGTTTTTTCATTTTACATTGGAGTGCAGTTGCTATATCTGTTTTTTAAAATATTTACTTATTTGGCTGTTGGGTCTTAGTTGCATTACGTGGGGTCTTTGGTTGCAGTGTGCAGGTTCTCTTGTTGTGGTGCACAGGCTTAGTTTAGTTGCCCCATGGCGTGTGGGATCTTAGTTCCCCAACCAGGCATTGAACGCCTGTCTTCCAATGCAAGGCGGATTCTTGGACCACTGGACCATCAGGGGAGTACCAGCATGTCACGTGTTGGCATTAGATGGCTCAGTTATTGGTTAGGAGCCCAAGGTCTTTGAGTCTTCTCAGGGAAAGCAGCCTCTGAAGGTTATGCAGTGAGGGGCTAGTGAAGGAGAGGCAGAGAAGCCTGGACTTCTGGTGGCTTCTGGTCACCGAGAAGCAGAGAAGGCCCTCAGGATCGCACGCAACTGGCATGCGTGTGACTGAGCAGCTATACAAGGGAGCTGTGGTTGTGAATTTTCTCATCACCAGTAGTGACATTCATAGATTTCCTATCTTACTCATAGCAGCTTCCATTTCTTTTCAAGACAGGTTTCTCTAGCTCATGAACGAAATGCTAATAGAAGGGCCTTGGAATCATCACTGCTATAGAACTACCTTGGAAACCTGCACTTCTGATTGCCTTTCCCAGCTCAGAAAATAATGACCCCTCTCTCCCAGTTGCTCAGACCAAAAACTTTGGTGTTTGTGTTTTGAATGGAGGCGTAAGTCGCCCTTGTGGGGTCTTTAAGGATCATTCCAACACAGCAGTGGAAATTACACTGGGAATTTCCTGAGGCATAGGAAATGAAAGGATTTATTATGCTCACAGGTCTTAGAGAGAGAGGTCCAACACCCCAATGCAGGGAACCATGTAGGAGGAGTGTCCAGGGAATGGACTCACCCAAGCAGGTGGGGAGCCAAGAGAGAGGGAGGACCCAGCAGCAGGCGCCTTTATTTGGGGTCAGGGAGGAGAGTACAAGCAAAAGGCGTGAGGACGTTTCATGGCTGGGTTTGAATGTCACTAGGTCACTGTCTGGGTCGGGGGTGGCAAGAGGGCGAACTGGTGGCGGGACCAGCCTCGTCACCCAAGTGTACCTGGTCATCTGGGCAGGATGCACACAGCCTGTTGGTGGGAATGTCGAAGCATCAGAAAAATAGGTTTTTGCAATTCATAGTACAGTGTTATCTTGACCCACATCCAATCTACTAGCGTATCTTCTCAGTGTTTCCTTTCCATCAAATCTGGAATCCAGCCTCTCGCCACCTGCACCACTGCCGTCAGAACCACTACACTGGTCCAGGCCACCATCACCTCACCTAGATTATTGCAGGATCCTCTGTGTCTGAACTTTCTGCTTCCACCTTTGATCCTTTATGTTTAATTCTCCAAACTGTAGCTAGAGTGAGCCTTTTAAAAATAGTCAAATTATGCCAATTTTCTGCTCATACGCCTCCACTAACTTCTCTTCTTGCTCAGAGTGAAGTCTCAGGTCTCTACTGTGGCCTTTGGCCTTGTCTGTGTCTGCTCCCCCTGCACTGGGCACATTACTATCTTGAATACCTTAAATGTGCTCCTGCCTCAGGCCCTTTGCACTTGCCATCCCCCTGTCTGTGCCGTTCTTCCACTGCACGTTCTCATGGCTCACCTCCTCACTGTCTTCAGGCCTCTGCTTAGATGTCACCTTAGCAGGCAGTGCCATGTTAAACAGTAGCATTCCAGCTCTGTCTTCACTTACTGGACTTAATTGTTTTTTATAATACATATCACAAGCCAGCATGTTTATTATACTTGGTTGTATGTTTACAAATTTTGTCTTTCCCCGCTAGACTATGTTTTATGAGCATAGGGCCATCAGCTTTTTTCACTGGTGTGTCTCCAGCACCTGGAACCTAACTTGGCAGAATAAGACACTCAGCAACTATTGAGGGGATGGTCGAGAGCTACATATAATGAGTAGGTTCAACATTCAGGCTCTCATCAATAGTTTATTTGATATCATAGCATTAATGCTTTAAATTAAGTAAGCTTGGTGATTTGTTTTGTTAAAAGGATGGGATATCGATATAAAAATAGATATTAGCTAAATACTTTTTCCTGGGGCAGAGTGATTTTGTGAATCTGGTAAGACTAAGGTAGCTTAAATTCAGTAAATATCTGCAATAATTTAACACATTTGTTCATTTCTGTTTATACCTTTATTCTAAACAGGTATATCCTAGTTTGTAAAAAGGATTCTGGCATAATTGGCTGTTAGTAAAAGAAAGCCTTTGCATTTCTGTGGTTATGGCTTACTTTCAAATCTTATATTTTGCTGAAGGAGCCAGACTCCACGTACATTTCAAGGACCCTATTTAATTAAAAACCTTTGTAGTGAAGCTGTAAATTGTCAATTTCTCAAGTGTTTATTATCCTGTGTGCAGGTGGTGTGCTATGTATAGATAAATCCAGTCTAGCCTGAGTCTTTATGGGGGCTTGGAGTTTAGTAGAAGGAAAGAGATGTAGTAGTATAAGAAAATGTTATGTGTGCTGTGATATAAGTAAATGTAGAATAGCTTGGAGTGCTTGGGAAACTCCATACATTTCTGTGTAGTTCTGTAAGGCTGGCGTGCAGAGATTATGGAGGAGGGGGTGTATGTGTTTGTGGATAAGTGTGAGAGAGAGCACTGGAGGGGAAAGAGGGGCAGCGAGAGTGAATATCATGTAAAAAGGAGAGGAGGGAGGGCTTACAACTGGGAGGTAGGCAGGAACCAGACAGTGTGTTGAGAGTTCAGGGGGGTGGGGGAGACCCATTTAGACAAGGACTGCTAAGGGCTGAGCTAAAGTGGTGACTTTTTAAGAAAATAAGGCTATTGAATGTAGAAAGAAAAAGAGAATGCTAGGATAATTGCTAGCTTTCTAACTTGGAGAATAATGAAATCATCCATCGAGACAAAGAGTGCTAGTTGAAAAGAGCAGGTTTCATGAGAAAGGAGCTCAGTTGTAGATTTGTTGAGTTTGAGGTACCTGCAGTCAGGGGTGTGCTGTTAAATGTTTATCCACTGGCTGTCTGAAGAAAAGCATGCTTATTTGTATATATATGTTTGTTATAAATTTTATTGATACAAAGACTGTGTAGCATATCATTGACAGAAACTAATGTTTATAAAAGTCTCCGACTTCATATAGCCAGTTGATTCTCAGAGTGTTTTCATCATTTGCTAGACTTTTGTATCTATAACCAGCTTGTTGCTGCAGTTGACAAGAGTATAATTCTGACATGAATATTTAAAGTGTAAAACTAAAATGGCAACTATGGTATGTGACAAAACTCTGAGTCAATGAAGTGAGTGACCTCTTTGCTGAATCAGATCATACATTTTGAACAATGGAAGAGTATTTCCTCAATTTTTTGTACTATTCACTGTGGAATGGCCACAAGTTTTCTGTGTGTGGTTTTGTTTTTTTTTTAAGGCTTTTTATTTTATCTTGGAGGATGAGATGGTTGGATGACGTCACTGACTCGATGGACATGAGTTTGAGCAAGCTCCGAGAGTTGGTGATGGTCAAGGAAGCCTGGCGTGCTTTAGTCCATGGGGTTGCAAAGAGTTGGACACAACTGAGCAACTGAACTGAATCTTTATTGGGAGTATGGTTGATTTACAATGTAGTATTACTTTCTGTTATACAGCAAAGTGAATCAGTTATATGTGTATCCACAAGTTTTAAGTTTAATCTGCATTACTAACATTTTCTCCATCACTTTAACTCTGGACAGTCAACAGAACAATAAATCAAACCTTTATTTGTAGTGCTTGCTAGTTTCCATGGTGTAAGTATTACCACTGTGGCCAGTTCCAAGCTGTGTATGTTTCTAGACACAGACTTGGGGAAGATAAGCAGTGGCACAGCATCGTAATACCCCCGCCACACAGATACAGTAGATAGGCATGACCTCAGGAGCAGAGATGATAGTGAGACAGTGAAGACATGATGCATCTGAGGATTGGTTTCATTTGTTCTTAATATACTGTATTTAATTGTAAGTTTATATAATTTAATTTTTAGTAAAATCTGTGCTTAATAACCAGCTCACAAAATTCTTGAAAATCTTATAGTTGGCCCTCTAGGCGCAATGGGAGCAGGCTGTAGCACACAGCTGTTTGTGGGCCGTCTAGCTGAAAATGTACGATGAATTTGTGAATCTTTTTCTTAGAAGGTGGCTCCAAGCTAGAGATGCTAATTCAGGAATCACTGCCAGGCTGGTTGAAGCCTTAGGAATAAATATTGTCCAGGGAGGGACTTCCCTGGTGGTCCAGTAGTTAAGACTTTATGCTTCCACTACAGAGGGCTTGGGTTTGATCCCTAGTCAGGGAATTAAAATCCCAAATGCTGTGTGACAAGGCCAGAAAAAAATGTCCAAAGAGAGCAAGGAGAAAGAGCAAGCTGAGTAAGAAGTGATCCAAGGGCAAAGCCCTGCGGTGAGGTCCACGCGGTGGACAGGCTGGGCTGGGGGAGCTGGGGAGCTGCCGAGCAGGGCCACGGGAAAAAGGAGGAGAGCTCTCTAAGGAGACCTGCCCCGTCCAGGCCCAGGAAAGCCAAGTAGGGGCGGGTAAGGAGTGTTGATCGAGCGGCAGGTCGCTAGTTCTGTTCGTAGTAGACATCTCTGTGGGGGTGGTGGGTACTGAAACTAAAATTTTTGTGGTATAAAATGAGAAGGGAAAACCAGAGTCTGCAATTTTAGTTGTTCCCTTGTAGGACTTCACTGTAAAGGAAAGAAAGGATGGGGACACGGAAGGAAGGAAGGTGGATAAAGATTAACATCAGGACTTCATTATATTTATTATGTGTAGGGAAGGAGCCGTGGGTTACAGGTGGCTGGTGAAGCAAGATCTCAGGAGAAGTCCTCTCCTGGGATAGAAAGACTGCTTTTATTATTACTATTTTTTAATTTATTTATTTTTTGGCGGTGCTGGGTCTTTGTTGCTGCACGTGGGCTTTCTCTAGTTGTGGTGAGCAGGAGCTAATTTCTAGTTGTGGCGCACAGGCATCTCATTGCGTTGGCTTCTCTTGTTGCGACTCATGTGGGATCTTACTGGACCAGGGATCGAGTCCATGTTCCCTGCCTTGGCCTAGAAAGGCTACTCCTGAGTAAAAGGAACACTTTCTAAAAGAGAAGGAAGTGAGTGAAGAAGCTTACTGATAGAGACAAGTTTTTAGGTGTGGGCATGAGAAGTCTTTACCATGGCCTGCAGTTAAATGGCCTGAGCGTGTGCCAACATAGTCCTGTGGTAGACGGCTTCCACGTCAGTCACTTGGCAGTTAGCAACTTCTGATTTGCCTGTTCCCCCTTTTTGCTAGACCAGAAGAATAAAGTTAGAATTAATCCTAATAAATACAAGTTGTCTCAAAGTAAAAGCTCTGAAATGGGCATGAAGAAGCATGCATGTGCGAGGTGAAGATCAGTAACTGATGTTAATGCCAACACATCTCTCAGTGTCCTTGTGAAGTTCATAATAGGTGCTCATGGCTGCAATGTGCCTGTGGAGGACAGGGAGGATCCTTATTCCTGCAAACTGCTCAACATCACGAATCCAGGTAAGTCTTTTCCTCAGCCCTACCACTGCTGTATACAGTGGTCCTCCCTTACCCACGGGCGACACATTCCACGACCTCCCCCCAGCCCATGGATGCCTGAAATCTTGCATAGAACCAAATCCTATGTGTGCTACTTTTCCCTGTTCATCCATACCTGTGATACAGTTTAATTTATAAATTAAGCACATTAAGAGGCTAACAACAGTAAAGTAGTAACAGAACAGTTATAACAGCATACTATAATAAAAGTTATGTGAGTATGGTCTGTCTCCCAGAGTATCTTACTGTGCAAATTTAATGCTTTTTCCATATAACTAAGCACTTACCACACATGGCCGTAACTTTGGCAGTTTGAATTGTGGCAGCAAAATTAACACAGATTTCTTTTTCCTCCTTCACAGTTTCACAGATAGACTATTGTTCTTATGGTAGATCGTAAGCAACTTCAACTATGATGTTTTTTTCTTCCCTTATTCAGTGGAGAGCTTTCACTCTTTCACTTAAAGGAAGCACTTCTACTCTGGCTTCTGTTTGGCACATCTGAGTTGCCAGCATCACCACTCTTGCCCTTGGAGGCCTTATTTACATAAAACAAGGGTCGCCTGAAGGGAAGCACTGCGATGCGTGGATGGTTGGCCAGACAACCCAGACGGCCGCTGACCGACCGATGGGTGGGATGTGCTGGACAGAGATGATCACGTGCCAGGCAGGACCAAGCTGGATGGCTCAGTTTCATCATGCTGCCCAGAAGGGCCCGCAGTTTAAAACTCGTGAATTATTTCTGGAATTTTTCATTTAATGTTTTTGGACCGTAGTTAAATGTAGATAGCTGTAAACTTGGGAAAGCAGAACTGCAATTAAGGGGCGGGGGGGAACTACTGTGCAAATTTGATGTTAAGAAGAGTTGTTGAGATGAATAGTATGGCGGTCTATTTTTGGCAGACTAAAATCAAACTTTCATCGAAATTTATCTTTCATCCTTTCCGACAGACTAACCACTTTGCGCATCTGTGAAGATTCCTTATGAATATATATATGATTTTAGGATCCAGGAGAGTTTATTTTTCAGTATGGTTCCCATGCATCTGGAAATTCCTTGTGTGTAGATAAATCCTGAGTTAGAGAAGTTTAAACTTACAGAAAACTGCTGATTTCACCAGCCTGTTGATTTATAATAGCTTTGATACAGATCTTATGAATCACCTTTCTCTAAGAACTATTGCCTAAGCTACAAAAGAAACCAATAGTAAAAAAGAAAAAAAAAAAGAAAACACAATAATATTTTTTTATTCCTTACAGTTAAAAATTTGTGGGAGCTCTGATGAGATTAAAGATAGGCAGTCCTAATTAGGTTCTCTCTGTTGCCAGGGAAGCAATTTTAGGAAGGTGATAACTTTATACCTTTCTTTATTAGCATTTCCTATTATGTTCAGCTCTGGTTCTGAGGGAGATGAAACTTCCCCACATCTTGAATCTACTGGTTATGACTTCAGGTATTTTAAGAGCTGTCACATGTGTATAATTACGTGCACCTTGCTTGTGTAGGTAGCAGCAGGGTAATGGTTAGGAGTAAGGGCTCTGGAGTCAGGCTTCCTGGCTTTAAATCTCGGCTGTGCCATTTCCTAGCTGTATGACCTTCAAACAGTCATTTACCACTTGCAACCTCAGTGTCATGATCTGTAAACTGGAGGTAAAAGTATTATACTTATTCCATCAGGACTGACTTGAGCATGAAATAAGTTGATACATATGAAGTATTTAGTTCTGGGATATGTTCAGTGTTTAATACTGTTATTTTTTTAAAACCCACCTTTTTATAAAGTTGGGTTGTAATCAGCTTTTTAAATAAATTGGACCATATTTTCAGGCCTGTATTGTAAAACAGAGGTTTCTTACTTAGAATGTCTATGCATTTAGTTAAGTTAACATTGTAAGTAAAGTTTTATGTATAATTGTGTTTTCCTGGGGAGAGGGTCCTTTAACTTTCACTGAGGTCCCAAAGGGACCATGAACCTAATAAAATATTGTATTACTGATGATGTAAGAGAACAGATTAGGTTTGAAATTCAAATCCAGGCCAAGCCAAATTTAAAGACACCTTTAACCAGACTTTCTATTATTTCAAGTGCTGTTATTCATTAATAGTAAAGGAGTGGAGATTTTCATTAATAGAAAATTTTCACATATGTAATATATAGGTTACCAATTTGTAAAAATAGGTATAGCTAAATTAGTTTTTCAGAATCTGATTTTATCGCTTTGATTTAAATGGCATTTAGATTTATTTCAGTACCTTAAGGTTATCATGAACATTAATCATCATGATACCCTGGATGTATAGAAGTTTGATTAATAGGATTATCAGAGCAGCAGGCTATCCTGTGTCCAGGTGGCTTGAAGTTCAAGGTACATTTGTTTTAGGTAAAAAATAATTTTTCTAGATGGTTACAATTTTATTTACACATTCTCATTTATAAAATATATATATATTGTCAGTATATTCAGTATTAAGATCACATTTTATTTTCAGATAAACAGAAATTCTATTTTCTTCCCACAGGCTAACGGATCATTTGAGTAAATGTGGGAAGAAAACAATTTGTTTATCCGAAAATAAAATGTAATTTTTATTAAATATTGAATGTCTTGACAATATGTGTATATTTTATAAATATATGTATGTTATAAGCTTTAAATTTAATAGATGTGCTTCACTTTGGATATCCTGTTTACTGAAAATATTAAAGAGAAAAATTTTTGTTATTGTACAGTATATTTGGAGTCTAGACTCTCTGGCCAGTGCTTGCCCCAACCCATGACAAAATCTGCATCCTCCTTTCTTCCCACCTGCTCATGTTTGTAAGTGGGTAGGAGCCAACACGACTGAAGTGACTTAGCAGCAGCAGCAGCCGGAGCCAACAATTCCACTTAGTCACATTTTATTGAGCACCTACTAAGCGTAAAATAGCACACTAGGAACTCTAAGGTAGGGATCCAAATGATCCTCTGCAGTGTGGGAAGGAAACGGAATTTCAGCTTATCTGAAAATAAAATGTAGCCTTAATTAATATTGAATACATTGATTGACAATGCATGTATGTTTTATAAATGTGAATAAATATGTTTATAAAATATTTTATAAACAATGCAAATGTTTTTAACTAATGGAACCTGTATCAGGGACTGTGTGAACCTGCAGAGTTGGAAAATCATAGCTCTAAAACATACAAAGAATGTAGAATAATCTTTTAAAATAAGTTTTCAAATTATTTCTCAAGCTGGCATTGATATTTTCAGCCATATTAACTGTTTCCTGTAGTCTATCCTGATTCATTCATGGTAGCTGAGAAGGTTCTCCCAAAAGGCCTGCTTTTGTCATTGATTAGACTCTGGGGAGATAGAAAGAGCACTGAATCTGAAGTCAGTAGATACGGGTTTGATTTCTGCTCTGTCACTTTCTGTACCTTAATCAGATACATCTCTGGAGTTCATTTTCTGAATCTGTAAACTGGAGATAATGCCACAACCACATAGGGTAGTTGTAAAGATTAAATTTGATGGTATGTGGCACATAGGTGGTGGTCAGAAATGCTGTGTTTAATGTGTTTATCTTTGTCAATACTATATGGCTAGAATTTTTCAATGCTGTTTGAATTGATTTCAGTTACTTCTGTATGGTGATAACTGCCCAACATCACAGAAATTGCTCATCGTGCAGTAGGATTTTTGGAATTTGCAGAGCAAGACTAAATGTACTCATTATTTATGACTACAGTTAGTACTGTATTTAATATCCCCATTTATCCAACCTTTACTATTCCCCTATAGTGTTTATGCATACAGAGGCACATATGCATATGCAGAAGTTTATTAAAGTACCTCTAATAATTATTTTGCTAAGATGTGGCTGAAAATTTTGTTGTTAAAAAATAAGTTTTTTTTTCTTTCTGAAAGCAGTAGTATTTCTGAAGCACTTAAAAAATGTATTGCCATTTGTGAAAGAATTATATAACAAATCTAGATTTTGCTATCAAGCGTACTTCATATTGGTAAAGTAAAAGATTGTGTTTGATTGTGTAAAACTCCTTTTCTCATTATTACTTCCTTAGTTCTGAATCAGGAGATTGAAGCATTCAGTCTTTCGGAAGACACTTCATCAGGGCTGTCTGAAGACCGAGTTGTCAGCGTGAGCTTCCGGGTTCTCTATCCAATCGTTATTACGAGTCTCGGGGTGTTTTACGATGCCAGTGATGTGGGTTTCCAGAGGAACATCACTGTCAAGCTTTATCAGGCAGAACAGGAGGTATGCTCTGCTTCGAACATGCTTTTCCCCATTTTTATTTTTCAAAATCATCAGCTTTTTCCTTGTGGCAGTGCATAGGTTGGGAGACTTCCACCTGTTTTCCGTTATGATTAGATACATTGTAGTGTAATGTATTATAATGCTGGTTTGAGAAGAGACTACTGATGAATAAACATGTTATACCTAGGAAAGGAGGAGTTAGACCAGATTAGAAATTTCCAACCTAAAATCCCTGAAAGCCTAAGGAATTTAAAAAGCTGTTGATGAGTATTCAATATTTGGGACTCGTAGGTGTAAGCAAGTATGATTGCCTCTTCCTTCCAACCCTAAAAGTCTATCACCATAATACAGGCTAACAGATACATCAGATCTTTTTTATAATAAGAGCATAGAGGAAATAAAAGTTTAAGACAGCTGGGGTTACTGTTTCTGATATTTGAGGAAACCCATTTGTTTCCTCAGATTTGTTCAGAGTTTGTCTGAAGGAGTGTAGCAAGGCATTATATTTGAAAAGATCTGTCCCTGAACTTTAAGCTATAAAAATCCTAAAAGAATTATACAGTGAGCACCATATATCCAGAGAAGGAAATGGCAGCCCACTCCAGTACTCTTGCCTGGAAAATCCCATGGACGGAGGAGCCTGGTGGGCTGCGGTCCATGGGTCACAGAGTCGGACACGACTGAGCGACTTCACTTCACTCACTTCATACTTCATCACTGGAGAAGGAAGTGGCAACCCACTCCAGTATTCTTGCCTGGAGAATCCCGTGGACAGAGGAGCCTGGCGGGCCATGGTCCAAGGGGTCGCAGAGAGTCAGACACGACTGGAGTGACTAAGCATGCACGCACGCCATGTATCTACCAAGTAAATTCTACAGTAGTTAACATTTTGCTGTATTTGCTTTATGACATCTATAGTCATTCATCCATCTATCATCTTAAAAAAATACGTATATTTTAGGGACTTTCCTAAAAAGTGGTGGTCTAGTTAAGACTGTGCACTTCCAATGCAGGGCACACAGGTTTCATCCCTGGTCAGGTAACTAAGATCCCACACACTGCACAGCACAGCCAAAAACAAAACAGTGTTTTAGATTAACTCGCAGGCATCAGTAATATTTCAGCCCTGAACACTTCAGTGTGCTTATCATTAACTAGATTTTAATATTTGTTTATGGTTTGAAAAAATCACAGAGTGTAAGGTGCATACACTACATAAACCTGCATAATCCAGGCTCCTGTCACCCTGCCCCATTCCCTGGAGGCAGTCACTGTTCTCTTTATTTTTTAAACCATGGGCTAGTGTTGCCTATTGTAGGAGTTCATTTATAAATAGAAGCATATACTAAGCACTCTTCGGAGTAAGGCTTCTTTCACTCAACATGATGTTTTTGAAACTCATCCATGTTATTGTATGCATCAGCAGATTTTTCCTTTTCCTTCTTTTAATTGCTGAGTTGTATTCCAACAATACATGGTATGTATCTGTTCTGTTGATGGGCAACAGGGATGTTTCCAGGGTTTTTCTCCTTTATTCTTTTATTGTGGTTGAGTTACATTTATTAACTTTGGAGTATTAAAGCAACTTGCTATTCTTCTTGATCATGATGTATTAATTCTTTTTATATATGGCTGGAAATTGTGTTTCTTATGGGCAGCATATAGTTAGGTATTCCTTTTTATCCAGTCTGAGAATCCCTGCTATTTACAAGGGCTATTTATTCCATTTACACTTAAGGCAATTACTAAAGTGGTTGGATTTCAGTTTTTCTTTTTGTTATTTGTTTTCCTTTTATCCTGTGTTTTTTGTTTCTCTTTTCTTCCTTTTCTACCTCTTTTGGGTTGAGTATTTTTTAGAATTCCTTTTTAATATTTCTGTTTTCCTTTTATGGAGAAGGCAATGGCACCCCACTCCAGTACTCTTGCCTGGAGAATCCCATGGACTGAGGAGCCTGGTGGGCTGCAGTCCATGGGGTCGCTAAGAGTCGGACACGACTGAGCGACTTCACTTTCACTTTTCACTTTCATGCATTGGAGAAGGAAATGGCAACCCACTCCAGTGTTCTTGCCTGGAGAATCCCAGGGACGGGGGAGCCTGGTGGGCTGCGGTCTATGGGGTCGCACAGAGTCGGACACGACTGAAGTGACTTAGCATAGCATAGCATAGCATTGCATTTTCCTTTTAGCTACAGCTCTTTGTGTTATTTTGTGTCAGTCTGGTTGACATAAGAATTACAATGTATGTCCTGAACTTTTTTCAGTCTTCTTTAGCATTGTACCCCTTTGTGTAAAATATAAGAACCTTGCAACTATATAATTCCATTTACTGTTCCCCATCTTTTTGTTCTAATTGCCATATGCCTTATATCTATGTATGCTATAAATCCCACAGTATTGTAATTTTTGCTCTAAACAGCTAAATGTATATTAGAGGAGAAAGTTGTCCTGTCTACTTTAAAGACTTTCTCTTTATACATACTTGGTTTTATGCTGTTTGTCTGTGTTATATCTTGGTGTGGTTTTTCTTTGTGTGGTCTGCTCAGGGTTTGCCAAGTTTCTTCAACTTGTAAATTTATGTCTTTTAACAAATTTAGAGAACTTTCAGCTATTTTTCCTAAAGAAAACTTTTTCCCAGCCCCATTTCTGTCCATTCCTTCTGGGATTTCAGTTACGTGTAGTTTCCTTTTCTCCAAAATAACCCATGTTTCTAAGTTTCCTATTTTTCTAAATTCATTTTGAGCATATTTTCTCTGTGGCTTTGACCCAGAGCATTAATGACAGCTTTAAAATCCGGTCTGCTATACTAAATTTGAGTCGTTTTGGCTTGTCTCTGTTGATCATCATCTTTTTTCTTGCATACAGCAGCATTTTCCTGTTCTGTCTTACATCGAGTAACTCTGGATCGTATCCTAGATGCTGTGGATGATTCACTGTAGGATTGTGGATCCTGCTACAGTCTTTGCGGAGAGTTGCTTTTGTTTGTTTGTTTTAGCTGTCAGATCGCTGGGCATAGACTCTGAACCCTGTCTGCCTCGCGGTGAGCAGCAGCTGGCGTCTTTGGTCGGTTCTCTTGGACCTAGATGGGCTGCTCGGATTCTGCTTCAAATGCGTACTTCCTGACTCAGCCGCAGTCTAGGACAGAGTTCGTAGGAAGGACTGAGAACTCTGTGACCCTTTCCTTTCTGGGTTCTTCTTCCTCACTTGTTAGCCAGTGTGTTTGCCTCCACTCGAGTGTCTTCTGATTTGTAGCCAGAAAGACTGCAGTTCTTATTTCAGAATTATTTGCCCCCTGAGGTATGCCTCAGACAAAGAGCCATTAAAAAAAAAAATAGGGGAAGTAGATCCAGTGACTTTCTCATCTTCTGGGTATTGCTTTTCCGCCAGTATGTGTCCTTTGTGTATGTTCCAGTGTCTTCAAATCTTTTTTTTTTAATGTTTTGTCTGCTATTCGTAATCGTTATCTGTAGGAGACTTGGCTCGTTGTCACTGGAAGCAGAACCCTGTGCAGTTTTTTTAGGCATGTTTAAAAAAATTTTTTGTGTTAAGGTTGGTTGTTATTAACATACAATGTCACAGTCACCAATAAACACCCAGATCAATTTAATATTAGATTTTTTGTTTGTCGTATTGCTTCATCCTCTAAAGAACTTGTTTAGTTTGTAAATGTGCTTAATGACATAAATATAAGAGAGGGAGCAAATCTTAGTGACGATTCCAGCCATTATGATTCTAGTGAAGAGAGCTTTATTAGTTAAGTATAGGAGTTCATATATCATTGTGGTTAAAGGTTGCATTGATACTGAAGCTCAAATAGGTAACTGCAAGAGCAGTACTCTGAATTCCACTGTCAACCTGACCTAGAAATTAGGATCAATCCTGAATTTTTTTCATGATTAATCGTCTTAGTATATGTAGTGGGGGTTTTTTTTTAAGTTTTTTTAATTTCTTTATCTATCTATTTGGCTGCACCGGGCCTTAATTGCAGGCTGTGGGGTCTAGTTCCCTGACCAGGGATCAAACCTGAACCCCCAGCACGGGGAACATGGAGTCTTAGCCACTGAACCACCAGGGAAACCCCTAAAGTCTTTTTGAGTTGTCACTCAAGTAGTTTGATTCAGATGTACAATATTTTTATCATGTTGATTTAATTTTTAGTTGCCATATTTTTTTACGCAAGGAGAGGTTAAGGACTCTCCAAAGAGAAGGTCTGATCTCAGGTGGACTGCAGTGGGTTCACAGGTAAGTCACGGTATATAAAGTGTTACCACTGCATTGCCATAGACTGATGTTGATGAAAGAAATACGCTTAACTCATTTAAACTCCCTTCATCCTGAACTTCTGCATGGTCTTGATAGCTTTAACAGAAGCATCTCCTGTAGCAAATTGGTATCTAAGAATAGCTATGAAAATAAGGAAATGTTCTTGCCTGAAACAAAAAGGAAGGACCCAAGGAAAACAATAGACATAATGAGAATCAGTCTTTTTTTTAATGTTCCCATTTTGTTTCTGTTTGTTCTTCTAAAGGTTCTTTTTGAAGGGTGATTCCTGAGTACCTCTGTTCTATGTAGAAGTGTATGATCTTTCAGTATATTCTTAACCCTTTGGAGTTAAGTTTACTAAGTTGGCTTAACTTAACACCTTACACTTTCCTTGATGCTCCTTATTTCAAGGTGTCATTTTTATTTTTTTAAGGCTATGTGGATTATATTTAGCATTTTAGAACTTCACGACAGCCTTGGTGATCTTAAATAGCTTTACTTAATAACCATGATTGCCCTGGAAAGCCCAATGATGCCTGAGCCACAGTAGTTCAATGTTAGTAGCCATGGTTGGGGCCTCTGAGGATTCAGAACGTCAGCTGTGTGAGAACTTGCTGCATCTGATGTGAAGTATGTCTCCTCGTCTCTTCCCCACCCAACCTGTAGGAGGCCCTCTTCACTGCTCGCTTCAGTCCCCCGAGCTGTGGTGTGCAGGTGAACAAGCTGTGGTACAAGCCCGTGGAGCAGTTCATCTTACCTGAGGTACTGTAATGGAGAGACTCTGGCCTTGCCGTGGGCCGTTACGCCCTGGGGATGTGCTTCCAGAGGCGGGCGTTTGATATCCTCCCGCCAGGACAGCTCTCCGGCGTGACAGATGCCCCTGCAGCAGGGGTGTACTAAGCTGCAGCCCTCTGCATTCCTCCCACCAGAGAGCTTCATGGTGCCCCAAAGGTTCCCCACCACGCTTTGCAAAGCATTGCATGTTGCCATGGTTTCTTCAGCGGAACCTGCATGACTGCCTTAGTGACAAAGGCCAGTAGGAGGTGTGGTTGTTAGAAAGACACGGATAGTGTTCGAGTACATCAGATGGATGCTTATCTAAACAACACGGAGGTGGAGGCAGGTGCGGACAGGCTAACAGCAAGGTTGAAACCATAACTATTCCTCTGCTCCCAGGGCCTCATCAGCCCTGGAGTTAAGCCCATATGTGGCTGCATCACATTGTGTACCACACAGTTAGACATGAACAGACCGTTAGCTGCCAGCCTCAGCCTTTCCAGGCTATTCCAGTCTGTCTTTCTGAGCAGAGTGTTTTGGAACCGCTGTGCAGGGCTCAGTTTCCCAGTCCTCTCTGGCAGACACCGTCTGTCAACTTCGGCGTTCGCCCAGTGACACCAAAGCTGAGTTAAGATGTGGAAGCTGGATGATTGACCAGCCCTGCTGGCTAAGCAGGAAGCCTTTTCCTGCCACTGGTCACATGGGTGCTGGTCACACTTGGGCAACAACAAAGTCATGCATTCTGTAACGTGCTGCGGATCTTTGAAGCTGAGTACAGGCAGTCAAACTGTGTATGTTAATTCCATGACAGTCAAAGCGAGCTCCTTTATTTCACCTATATGTGAACTTCTGTTGAAAAACATGTAAAGAAAAACAAAACTGAAACAGAAAAAATTTCCAAGTTCTTGCTGATATAAAAAAGACTGTAGTGAACATCATTACACTCTCTTTTGAGTACCAAACTGCTTGTTTTCTTAGGATGAATTGTGGGTTCAAATTTCTACATATTTTTGAGGCCTATGATTTTCTTTTGGAGAATAGTTTAGCAGTTTGTATCCATTTGAATAGTCATCAGCATTATATTAGTGTACCTGTTTGTGTCCTTTTTAAAATTCATTTATGAACTTTTTTCCTATTTAAAGGAAGTAATGCACCATCAAAGGTATCTCTTAATTAAGAATAATGGTTCAACTAAGAAGGATTGGCCAAGTGTTGGATCTCAGTTTCTGTTTTTTTGAGACATTTTTCATTTTCACCAGGAACTTAATTTTAAAAACTAAAAGTTTTTAAAAATGTCTGTTTATTTGTCTGGGTCGGGTCTTAGCTGCAGCACAGAGGACCCCCATTGCATCATGTGCCATCTTTCACTGCAGTGCGGGGACTCTAGCTGTGGCGTGTGGCCTCAGTAGCTGCAGTTCACAGGCTTAGTTGCTCTGTTGCATGTAAGATCTTAGTTCCCTGACCAGGGAGCAAACTCACATCACTTGCCTTGGAAGTACGGACCCAAGTCACTGGACCACCAGGGAAATCCCGGATTTCAGTTTTTGAAGGAAGTCATTCTTTGATTTGTTAACCCATTTACTCAGAAAATATTTTTTGAGCACTTAGTGTATGCCAAGCGCTGGGTCTGCTTGAGGACATAGTACAACAATCCCTACCCTTGAGGCAGCTTATGTACTAGTGAGGGTTGTTGTTTAGTCGCTCAGTTGTGTCCAACTCTTTTGCGACCCCATGGACTGTAGCCTGCCAGGCTCCTCTGTCCGAGTGATTTCCCAGGCAGGAATACTGGAGTGGGTTGCCGTTTCCTTCTCCAGGGGCTCTTCCTGACCCAGGGATGGAACCCGGGTCTCCTCATCAGCAGGTGGCTTCTTTACCACTGAGCCACCGAGCCAGCTAGCTCTCTGTGAGGACAGAGCGCTCACATCGACCTTGTGCCCACCCTGCCGTGTCCCAGACACGGCTGAAAGTGGACTTCCTACACTGGCTTGTTGGTGAGGTCCTCTAGGATTGAAGCAAGTCATCGATGCGGGGGTCGTTCTTTTCTACTCACAGCCCGTGTGGGCAGAACCTCACTCAGACCTTGTGTGATTCCCAAGGGAGAGTGATTCTATGGGGACCGGGAGTGCTAGCACGTGTTAGGTGCTGTCCAGAAAGGTCTGGAACCTGCTGAAGGTTGATGTTCACACATGACTCGTGAGGACCAGCATGAGTAGGGGAGGAAAAACTGCTGCACCAGGAAGTGAGTAGGTGTGTGAGGGCACCGGTGGGCGCAGGTGTGTGATTGGGCGCCTGCGGGTGGAGCCCGAGTCCCTGCTCTGCCGCTCAGCGCCCTGTGACCCGGCACTAATTTCTTCCCCTCACTGCGTCTGTTGCCGCCTCTGTAAGGTAGACGCAGTTCAGAGGATTGTTCTAGCGTGTAAATGATTTCATGGGGCTTCCCAGCTGATGTGGTGGTAAGAATCCACCTGCCAATGCAGGAGACACGAGAGACAGTCCCTGGGTTGGGAAGACCCCCTGGAGGAGGAAGTAAGTACCCACTCCAGTATCCTTGCCCACAGAATTCCATGGACAGGGGCGCCTGGGGGCTACAGTCCATGGGGTCGCAAAGTGTCGGACACGATCCAGCACACACACGCTTCACACGCTCACACCCAGGTCCCCGTAGAATGTTTAGAATGCTGCCATGTGGTGAGTGTTCAGTAGATTAGCGTGTGCTGTCCTGTTACTGCTGGTCCTCATGTGGATTTGTGGTTCTTGTTCTTCAAGAGCAGTGTCTCTTCTCCCGGGGGACCCCTAGCAACTTCCGGAGATGCTTTTAGTTGCTGCAGCTGGGTGTGGAGTATGCCTGCCTTCTGTGGCAGAAGCCAGGGATGCTGCCCAACATCCTACAATATACAGGACGGTCCCCACAGCACAAGATTACCTGGCCCCAGATGTCAGTGGTGCCCAGGTTGAGAAACTCGAAGAGGAAGGAGTCCCAGAAGGAATAAAATAAGCTTTAATATTAACTTCAGGCTAATCGCAATAATGCATCTACACTGTTATCTTGGTCACCTCATAGAAAGAATTACAGTTTGATTAATTAGTTAGTCCACAAAATATAATACTTTCCCTTAGAATGTCTTTGTCCTTAGGAAATCTATGCTGAAGTCAAGGTGAAATGTATTTTACTTTCAAGCGATTCAGCAACAAAGAAGAGCAGAAGAGTAGACAGAGATAAAGCACGTGGGGCCAGGGGCTCCCCATGTGGTTCAGTGGTTAGTACTCTGCGCTTCCGCTGAAGGGGTGCAGGTTTGATCCTGGTCGGGAGACTAAGATCCCAGTGACATGCGGCGTGGCCAAAAAGTTAAGTAAAAAAGTGCACATGTGGCCAAACATTGCCAGTTGTTGAGTCTATAGGATTTTGTGTTAATCTGAACTTTTCTATGGGTTTGAAGTTTTTCAGAAAAAGAATTAGATTGGAGCAAAGGGCTGCCTTCCTTGCTTGGGTATAAATAGCAGAAGGTACTCATGATGGGAAGGACTTGGTAAAATCAGGCAGTGGCCATTTCAGTTATTAAGATGTTTACTGGCTAAAGCCTTGTGCTTTTTTTTTTAATTGAGATTTTATTTTATTTATTCTTGTTTTATTTTTTGGCTGTGCCGTTCAGCACGTGGGATCTTAGTTCCTCAACCAGGGATTGAACCCATGCCCCCTGCAGTGGGAGCACAGTCTTAAGCACTGGACTGCTGGGAAAACCCCAGCCTTGTGATCTTTATTTCCCTTGAAGCTTTAAGCTAAATTGGCTTTTGAGTTTTCATTACATCCGAGTAATATTTTTTCTTTTTATAAATGTGCAGTTATTTAATAGTGTCTACATCTGAGGCAGTAGGATTGTGGATGAATTTTATTTTCTTCTATATATCTGTTTTTTAAATGTCCTGAAATAGCCTTATTAGCCTTATTAAAATAAAAAACTTAAAATAAAATACTTTCCTTTTATACAAAATCCTGGTTTTGTTGAAAGCCTGTTTAATTTCACATATATATTCATTTTTGCTGCATCAAGCCCTCGTTGGACTTAGTTGCACAGAAAAAAGTGATAGTAATGTAGGTTTGCCTACATATCATCAGCAGAGAATAACCAAAGAAAAACAGATCATTGATTCCAGTTGTGAGGGAGAAGTAGATAATTTGTTCATCATCATATTCTCTCTAGACTTCACAGTCTGGTGGAGTAACATGTCAGCAGTGTGGCTTGTCAGCTAAGAAGCAGGGTTCTTGCAGAATTTTTGTTGTGTGACTCACTAAAGCAGAAATCTTAGTGGTGGGGGGCGTTGCACATTTAAATAGAGACTGCTGTGTGTTCCTCTTAAAATATTTCTCTAATTTCATATTTCTCTTGGTAGTGCACCTGAACCTGGGAACTAATTTCAATAAAAAGACTGTTCATTAAACCCAAGTCACTAGAGACAGTATTGTCAGCATCATGGGTACTTACATACTTATTTTTTATGGAAGTTGAAATTCTTCAGCGGTAGTCATCTCTGCAGGGCATAAGAAATTGTTAATGGTTACAGGCGCAAAAATACTGTGGATGTTTAAGCTACTCTGTTGGTTTGCATGATGAGTTAGAAATAGGACACAGAAGAAGGACCACATAGGTTGCAGATAGCTCACTTATGTTACAGGTGAGAGAACTTGAGAGCTCTTTTTTACAGTCTGCACTGTGCTGTTCTGTCCCATCTTTTACTTTTGTAATTAAGTTTTTATTTTCAGGAGCAGTTACATATTTGATGTGCACTTTCAAGGGATACTTGTTTTGGGTCATGCTGTGCAGCGTGTGGAATCTTAAGTTTCCTGACCAGGGATTGAACCCAGGCCCCCTGATTGGGAGCACAGGTTCTTAACCACTGGACCTCAAGTCCAGAAGCCTCCCTACCTTTTGCTGTAATTTCTTGATCTCAGCAGGGAATTGTCATAAACAAGGTGTTAGGCGTCTGTC